TCTTACCTGGGCTGAGACAAGATCCCTAACACTTAATACTACTTAGGGAATGCACACCTCTGAATTGACAAAGGACAATAGAGCAAATACAATGCTAGAAATTATGTATCACCCCACTCCTTGCATCTGAAGGTAGGAATAATGCAGAGGCTCTGGATTATGCAGAACACCAGGTACTCATTCCCTTTCCCCTTCAGTGTTCTAAATTCTCCTCAAAACGAGGTCCAACAAGAGCTCATAGATCCAAATTATAGATGATTACATAGCTATTCCAGATACATTCATTTTTAATACAATGCTCCTTGATGTCAAGAGCAAAGTATCAGCAGAGAGGTTGTCCTGTAAAGAGTTTCCCTAGAGAAGAATCTTCAGGTTATGTTGAAAACCTAAAAACTAGACATACAAAAGCTGGTATTACTTAGTATATGAAGTTTTTCTGCTCTGTATTTACATTCACGTTGACAGAAGTTAGAAGTTGGGAAATTGGTTCCTAAGGCTTTTTTTTGTTGACTTCAGCTTACTAAGTTATCTTGGTCATCTGATAGTGAAGTTCAAGCCTTCAAAAGCTACCGAAGTGAACAAGGAACGCCCTGTTCTCTGTGTGAAGCGACAGCTCTGTTTGTTGTAAAAACGCTAAGTTAAGTTTCCTTTTTCTTTTCAGATGATAGAAGCCACAGAACGATGGAGAAGTTCAGGTTTCCTATGCAAGTACTGTTACTGGATAGCCACAGAAAAGAAAGCATTTAAGCCAAACTAAAAATAAACTAGTTAACCCTTACTCTCCTCACAGGAAAGAGAAACTGCTTCTTTGCATATACACACACAGCGAAGGAAACAAGTCAAAGTCCTAACAGTACACATTTAGTATCACTGTAGCTAAGCATTTGAGTCTTATTCTACTGCTGCTTGAACTCAAAGTAGCAGCTAATATTAAGACTGCTGTGAAACGGGCAAGCAGCATACCATGGCTTGAAAGAAAGTTTTGGTGTAAAATGTGGCATGTACAGAGAATAATATTACTTTTACAGCTGCTCACAAGATGTCAGAGACTAGATCTGCAAAGCTGTTTATACAAGAGATCCAAAGTCAGAACAAATGACTGAAAAAGACCATTATGATTTATGAAAGTTGCCATTATAATTTATCAGTAAGAGATCCCTGATTCTCATTATTTAAATTTTAATGTTGTTTGAGAAAACTACTCAACAATAAAAAGGACATTAAAAGTTGCTTTGATAAAAATGTGAACACCAAGTTAACCAGTCAAGTGTACTATTCTCAGATCTGTTTACTGAAAGGTGAAACATGAAAGACGCTATTCTTAGAGAATAAAAAGCTTCTTAGTAGTGCCTAACTCATTAATTGAGGTCTTGCCAAGGCAAGGCTTGTCTATTTGCCAAATGACAGTCTTCATCAAGATGGATTATTTCTCATTAAGTCCATTTTCCTGAAGTAATAGTTACCTGCACTACATTAGCCTGAAAGACTGAATTCCTTTATAAGCAGTAGTGCAGACTTTCTCAGGAATAACCTTAGAGAGTTTCAGAAAGAGACTGACAAATCTCTTCCAGAAACGGAACAATCTAAAAAGAGAATTCAGAATGGGATAAATTCATTCAGGTTTCTCGTTCCCTAAACTGAGAAATTTACATACCATTTCCCTAGCATAATAGGTTCAAGGTTAAATTGCAGCATATTTAACTAAAATAATGACAGTTCTAGTAGCGAGTTCCTAGTCAGCTAGGACCTGAGATGTTCTTAAAAGCATTTAAGCTTATCTTTATTATTTTTAAAAGTGTGAATGTTTAAATAAGTGAAGACAGTGTTATGAATTCATTAGAAGAGTTGACAACCTCAAGTGAAAACTGAAGACTAAAGTACTCAAGATTACATAACCACACTTTGTGTGCAATTTAGTGATAAATCACGTGATAAACTGCAAGAACAAGTCAGCATTTATCAGACCAAAACTTCCAAAACCATTAGATCTAGCACTACAGTTGTTTTGTTTAATAAATGGGGTATACTATCAATGGACATTATTACTTCCTTATGTCTCAAGAGTAGAGGAAAAAAAGGGAAGTGAGGCAGTGAGATTTTAAGTACTATGTGATCCAATAACATGCTCTCTGTAATCAAACCACCCCAAACCTATATATTCATGAGGTTTTCAGATCATATGTTGCTTCAGTGAAAGCAAGCTGACACCTCAATAAAGTCAGCTACATAGATTTCTGTAACACTTGATACTTAAGAATTATCACTAAAGTTAACAGAATAACAGCCCAAAGAAAAGCAGTTTACTTTCATGCACAATGAAGTTTCTGTGTCTTGTCACTAGAATGATGCATCTAAGCCAAATTAAGTCAATAAATAGTCATATTAACAAGATTACTTACATACCTCACAGGTGCCAAGGATTTTGTGAGAGCAGACATCATCTCCTATCCTCCTCCTCGTAACAATCTGAACAACTCTCATTTGATTAAAAAGCAGAAGTGGCCATGAAATTCTCATCAGCAAGAATAGCACAGGCAGGCCATTTCAAAGGAAGGCTCTGGAAACCGCTGTTCTGAGCTATAGCACTTGCAAACTAACTTCCAAATGTTTACTTCACTATCATGTAACAACTATTAATATAATAACTAAACACTTTCTCAGTAAAAAGGCTGCATTTTTGATAAAATGAGCAGATGATCTGATCTGGTGTATTAAAGTTACACCCCACTAGTACTTACAGACAACCCCCAATGTCAGGCCCCTCACTTTGCTATGCAGCCTGTGAAACACAAACTGATGCCAAGTTTGCTGATGAGCATAAGGAAAATGAAAGCGAGTAAAGCTGGTAAAAATCAGTATTTCCCCAAGAACCAAGAGACTTGTATTCTATTCCTCATTTTAACTCTAGCTTTTCAAGTGCAGAAAGATATTTGAAAAGTTAAACCTGCTTTTAACACCTGCTTTTACTTCCTGAGACAATATAAACTTCCTCAGAGAATCAGGCATGGTTTTACCACCAAATATCACATGTAGTGATGGGTGCTGCAATACAAGTATCAGGGGAAAGTTTAGCACTGTTATGTAAAAGAGTTAGGTTATTACACACAATTCATTCATACCACCTGGTAAACTGTCAATTTCTACCTCATATGATGTTTTAGCAATTTCATTTGAGAGCACAAAAGGAAGAGTACTATTACAGTATCAAATATAGGATGATACCTTTAGAGACCAAATATTCAGAAAATAAACCATGAGTTACATGTCCAAAGTCTTTAGACATGCCCTAGAAGATAAAGGAAACTTTGCTTCCTTTCATTATCTTGTAATTATATCTGGTATCAAGTTACACCCTGGTATGTGGTTAACAGGTAATTGGGTTAAGGAGTATACTTACTGAATTTCCTTTATACATGTTAAAGAAAATTACCCACCCCCCCCCTCCAATTTCTCAGTACCTTTTTTTTTTTTAAATATTATACTGTCCTCACACAAAATACCCCAGTTACAGTCCTTGGTTAGTACAACTACCTGTAACTAACAGGCTACAGAACTGCTACCCCTTCCCACCCCCAAGATCAAATCACACACAAGATTCCTTCAGCCTTCCTAGAAGCATAGAATGGTTTAGGTTAGAAGGGGCCTTGAAGATCACAGAGTTCCAACCCCCCTGCCATAGGCAGGGACACCTCCCACAATAGCATGTAAAGAATTAGAAACAGAACAAGCATAACATAGAAGTCTTAGAAGAGAGAAAAGATCAATTTTTTCTTCCATTAAAGAAAGTGGAAGATGTTCATATAACACAAATTGCTCAGGATCTTCTCCAGTGGAATTCTGCTTTTAAGTACTAGGTCAACCTTGCCTTAGGGTACTCCTGAGGTCCCTTCCAACCTAAATTAGTTAATGATCATTACAGAGCCTACTCCCAACCCAAGCAGTTAATTACAAGAGTCAACTTTGGGAACAAATCATTGGGAATGCCAGTAGAAGACACACAGCTTAAGATAATGAAGACTCAAAAGCATATGTAGAAAAGAAACCCTAAAACCATAAGCTGTGCATAGAAAGAAGCTAGAAACCAAGGAAGATTGGTTTACACCTTCACAGAAGCAGCACTGAAGGTGCTGAAGAAGGGAAGGAAGAATGGCTGAGGCTCACAAGTTCTTCAACTCACACAGAAAGAAAGTTATATTTAAACCAAGACCACATTTTTTTTGTTTTATTTGTGCTGCAACAAACCCCTTGTCAAGTGACTAGATATATCATCACACATTAAACAGTTCATCTGGGAATGCAGTGCAGAACAACTACTTTTTAACCACAGTCCAGAGCAATTACTTTATTTCTTTAGTGTATTTTATGTCCTTTAAGAGCATTCACACTAATTTTAGTGTTGACCTATGCGTTGTCAGTGTCTTCCAAACACATGAAGCTTTTACTTCACAGAAAACACTTTTTCTGCTATTCTAAAGCTACAGAAGCCAACAGGAAGTGCTATGTCAAAACCTTCTGCAGACATAAAAAATTGCAGACGTTCTTCAAAAGCACATTTAAGCTTTGCATTCTTATGATTCTGTATAAAAGGTGATGGCTTCATACTCTCTATACAGGAAAATACATATAAAACAAACTATTGTTTCATCTATTCATACCAAATACTCTTCTTTTTAAAGACACCACTTAATGAAATGTAATTAGTCTTAAGAGATCTTCTCCACCTGATAAACAAATCTTACAAAGTTCAGATATCCTTCCCCTAGCTCAATCACAATTTAAGACATTTAACTGGTCTTGTTACTGTTTTTGTGTTTTTTAAATAGCCATATTGTTAAACTAGTTTCAGCTAATGTGTAAATATATTCAGGCTAACTTTATACTCATGCTTTGTGCAAGCAGCTAAATGGGCCACAAATATTCTAGATAGTATTAAAGCACGTTGGGAAGAATCTCAGGTGATCACTTTGAGCACGCAAAACACAGCCGATCACAATACTTACTTTTCATAGACCAGTTCCTCATCAGTACAGAAGTAGTGGGTATTTACGGTACTTTTCGGTTTATTTCGTAAAGTAGCAAAGTACAACCGATCTGAAAGACAGATTAGGACAACAGCGTAGGACGGACAAAGCAGATCGTCACTTGCCCCCCACGGGGCGCCTGTCACCCCGCCGGCGGGCACTGCACCCCCGGGCCCCGTCCTGCC